TACAAGACTTATATTGACCCACAAATGGTCTCATTTCCCATTTTTTCAAAAGCCATATTCTTCACCCAATCAAACACAATTCTGTATTGATTTTTTATGAAATACAGTGTGCATAAATATTGTGTATTTTTGTGTATGCCAACATATGATGAAGTAGAGTTACATAATATTCATTTAATTAAACCTTTTTACTGCCTAAATCAAGTATTTCCTTTTTTTTCCTCAATAGGAACCATTGATGTTTGGTGATATGTGCAGCAACAGATGAATGGCAATGAAAAGTTAACACACCAAATTTACAATAGGCACCAGTTTCTCTTTCTTTTGGTTTTAAATTTAAAATGGCTAGATAAAGATCAAACCAAGCAGAAACAGATACTTTGTTACAAGATCATATATAATGTTTCTGAGCTGACGTATGCGAATTTGAATGATTATGCATTCCTCTAAATGCAACAGGTGCATTTGATGTCTCTGTCCTCTTCTCATTTTTTTATGTCTTTCTATCTTTCTACCTCTCTATCTCTTATTTAATTGTACATTTATATGCAATGTTGGTGTAAATGTGTGTTTATGTGTTGTAAATCCTTTATGTGTGCCATGCATGTCACTCAAATGTCCATATTCCCATTTTCTTCCATTAGAATGTATAAAATTTATGTCATTTTTCATTTGCACAGGATACTGCACAGCATGAGCATAATTTTGAATTTTCTATAAATTAAAGAATTCAAAAAAAAAAAAAAACTGATCACATTTTCCACAAAAACATTAGGCAGTACAACTGTAATTTAATTACTACATTAATTTATTAATGATTTTTGAGCACCAAGTAAGCATATTTGAATTATTTCTGAAGGATCATGTGACACTGAAGACTGTAGTTACTGTAGTTTTGATCAAATAAATGCAGCCTTGGTAGGCATAAGAAACTTCTTGCAAAAAATTCTTACCAATCCCAAATGCTACGAACGATAGCGTAAATTCATTTTCACATAGACCGATCTCTAGTTAAGTGATCAGAAAAGCATCATAGCATCATTAGTTGTCTTTTATTCAGTACAAGTTTATAACGTTTAAATGTCAGTTGAATAAGTTAGTGAATTCAGTCCAGCGTGATGTCGCGGGTCCTGTGAGTGTGTATCAGAGCAGACATTGTGCTGCATTTCCTACCCTGTTAAAGCAGAAGAACAGGGAAGCTGTTGTCCCTGTACCTGGCACATTTTTCTCAGAGCAATGGCTCTAATTCCTGTGACAATATGACAGTCATTCGTATAATAAGATTGCGTGAGCTGGGTAAATAGGAAACGGGTGAAGCACTTACAAGCCCCACCCCCATCGCCAACCCCTGTGATTCGTCACTCTGAGGGCCAGACAGAGCCTATGCAGACACAGCAACACTAGTTTAATGGTTTGTGTGTGAGTGAGGAAGCGTCCCATTACTCATGAGCAGCACAAAAAGGTGTGACCACTCCTACTAAATCACATGCATAGACTGGGAAAGGCCAGGAGGTAAACTCAGGCTGTCTTGCGTTATTCTTTAAAGTTGTAGAAGGGCAGTTTTTGTATTTCTTGAGCTCAGGCTCAGAGTCTTACACCAGGGAAAACCCTCTTCTGAGCCCTTGCTGCTCTCACCATGTGTCAGATTTACCATGGGACTGTCAGGAATTTCATACTTTGCTTCCAAAACAGCTAGAGAGCAGGAGGACCGGAGAGATTGAGACTCTGTGCATATGTGTGCCTGACACAAACCTGGCCGTCCTACAGGACTCTCACTTTCAAACTGCTCTGTGTGAAAAGGACACCTCTGGGATACAGATTAACTTTTTGGAGTCTTTTCACACAGGTTCTCATTTAGTTGAAGCTGGTTGGCTGTGTGTGTAAGATGTGTGGGGGTTACGGCTGCATGGTGTGGTGCCGTGATCAAGGAAATACCTAAGAGGAGAGGCCTGTAGAAACTGAGATAGTATTATGTTCTGGAGGACGATAGCAGGCACCTTTCATTTGTGGTTTTGGATGGTGAGTATAGGCCCTGCCAGAGCTTCAGGCCCTGCTGAGGAAGCATTATGCTGGGGTGGACGACCCTGGGCTGCTGGAAACTTCAGCTGTGTGGGTAAGTGCATGATGTGCTCATTGAAGTCAAACGTTGGGTATTGTAATTTAAAAGAGACCTGTTTTGTTTTGTTTTTTTGTTTTGTTGCTAGTATCCTCGACCAAAACCTACTTGAACAGGTTATGTGTTAAAGGGATGCTTGTGAAAAATACACTTTAACACACTTAAAAGGAGTACTTATTATAGAAACAATATACTTTAAAAGTATATTATTTATATAATATATATTATATAAATTATACATATTTATAATGTATATGTATATAATTTATAAATTGCCTTTTTTATTCAAATTAATCTTTAAGATAATTTAAATATTATCTGTAAGTACAGTTTTTTTTGAAAATACACTTTTAAGATTTTAAGTACACTATAAGTGCTCATTCAGTACAATTAAGCACACTTCTTTTTCACAAAGGGATAGTTCAGCTAAAAATAAAAATTCTGTCACAAACTTTTTAGCAGCATGGGTTCGGCTGCCCTTATATAATGAAAGTGGATGGTGACCAAAGGCTGTCATGCTCCAAAAAGGAGAATAAAGAATTATAAAATTATCATTAAAATTATTTTGTGTCACTTGTGCACTCAATCCCAAGTTCTCTAAAGCATATGATTAATTCACATTCAGTTTTTGTGTTTTTATTTGTGCAACTTGTTTGCAGCATGTTTGAATGCATACAAGCTCAAATGAGGTTTGAGAGCCATGCAGAGAGAAGGATTTGCACCAGATGATTTAAAGTTTGGTCTGTTCCTCATACAAAGCTATCAAATGGATCCAGGAAACTTAAAATAAAGCTCAGGAGTTTCTATGGTAAATTAATTGTTCTTTTGGTCATTTTTGAGGTTACTGATCATGGTCACCATCCATTTTTGTTGTACAGAAAAAAGCTCCATAAACACTAAAGTAACTTTGTGTTCCACGAAGGAAAGAATGTCACACAGGAATGAACAACATGAGTCAATAATGACTTGCAATGAATGGGTGAACTATTTATTTAATAATTAATAAGATGGCCATTATATGTCTATGAAATAAAATCTTATTTGGAAACAACAAATTTGATGAAGCACTAAATCATACGTCTTTTTGGACCCCTTGCTCTGAGCTGCAGTGAGAAAGGAACTTAACCCTCCCTTCATGAATCATAATATTTATTCCTATCAGCATAAGTCTAAATATTTTGTTGAATACCTTTTAAATCGGAGTACATTCTAAATATGAAGGAAAACTCCCTTTATTAAAAAAAATAAATAAATAGCAAACATTTTGATGGATAAAAGTTTTGCTGCAAATTAGTGACTATTGATTGTTAAATACTAACCATCACCATACTCAACATTTTCCGTTATTTGTCTCTACACATCCTAGCAACATGGCTGTGTGTTTTTGTAATCCATTCAATCTTCCACTATGGTGTGTGTTGCTAGGATACAGTTGCTTTATTTCTACAGGCATCTGTGAGATCGATGTGTGAACCTCTCCCCATTAAAGCATGAAAAGACCTGTCACAAAGCAACATTAATCCATGTTCTGAATGACATTATAGGTGCTAATATGGGTAGGGAAGAAAGAGAAAATAATTAGCAATTCTATGAACAAAGAAAGAATGTATTTGTTAGCCGACAGGCCTCGTTTATCAAACTGCTTCATTTTAGGGTCACACTGTAAGGTTTCGGGGAGGTTTCATGTTAAAGGTATTTTATTTAACTTAGTGAATACACTAACATACAATAAAATCAACATAAGGATTTCTTCCTCACAACTCTGAGCTTATATCTTGCACTTTATTTTTTCAGTATCTTTTATAGAAACGTATATATAAGATTATGAACTTGTGAGACAGTTAAATATTTAATCCTTCAGAGAGGTACTTTGACAGAACAGCATTTCTGCTGACTGCATGTGTCTATACTGTATTTACAAAGATGCACAATGTTATGTAAACAAATAAACTATGTTTATGATGTTTATGACCCTACAAACTTTTTTATGGCATTCAGTTTTTAACAGAACATTGCACACACGCACACACACAATTTTTCTTGTTTTACAGTAATATATGCATATTATACACCTCAATCCGAACAACATTCCTACCAACCAATCAGAGCCCTGACACAAACTTCAAACCCCGCCCCAAAAATCAGAGGGCTGTGATTGGTCTGCAAGGTCTGCAAGCATGTCCTGCTTGATTGTAAATCATGTTTTACCTTTGTGGTCAAAATATTTCTTATTAGTCACTATAATTTGACATTGTAAATATATTGTTTGTTTTGCTGTTTAATTTTAAGAATGGATTTAGAATTAGTTTGATTTGAAGAGCATTTTGAACAGGTAAATGAAATGTGCACATAAACTTGTTAAAATGGTTGTTTAACTTCAATTTAAGATCAGATTAGAAGTGATGTCACTGTTTAATGCATTCAGTTTGTGCCATTTTGATTAGGTTTCACTATTTGTCTCTTTAAAGATCCTGAACCTTATCTGTTACTTGGCCTTGGAAACAGCATTCAGAGACTGAACCTTGATGGTGGGGACCAGAGAAGGATCGTGTCTAGGGTGGGAAGGTCCATCTTGTTGGACTTCCATTTAAGTGAGGGAACGATGTTTTGGGCCGACACACATGCAGGACAAATCAACAGGGCAGGACTTGATGGAACAAGCAGACAGGTATTGCTGAGGCCTCATTAATGTTATTTTTATACATTATTTTCATTTTAAATGCCATCAGTGATTGTTTGAAGCCTGTTCCAAGCCTCTTAAAGCAGGTTTGTTTCATTCTTTCAGAAGCTTCTCTCAACAGTGAAAGGAATCACGGGTCTAGCTGTGGACTGGATTGAAAACACAGTTCTCTGGAGCATTGCAGAAAAAGGGATGCTACAGAGAATGGACACAGATGGGAGAAACGAAAAGATTGTCCTAAGAGACCTGTCTCAGCCAAGAAGTATTGTTGTTGATCCAAATGAGAGGTAAAAATGAGAAAAACTATGCAGTTGTTCAGGGAAAGGACTTTATCAAAACTGGCATAATTTAAAGGGGTCATATGATGCGATTTCAAGTTTTTCTTTCTCTTTGGAGTGTTACAAGCTGATTGTGCATAGATAAGATCCCTGAAGTTGCAAAGACTAAAGTCTCAAAACCAAAGAGATATTCTTTATCAAAGTTAAGACTCTGCCACGCCCCCCTAAAACGGCTCGTTCTAACACGCCCCCACATATCTACCCCACTATGTGGAAATATTTGCATAATGCCACCCAAATGTGCACGCAAACAAAGAAGGCATGGTTTCAGTAACCGCAGTTAGTGTTGAAACAGCCATGTCATATTCTGTTACACCAAATACACAAAATAATGATCTTTAAAAAAGCATCATATGACCCCTTTAAATATTTTTGGTTGATCTCTAAAGAAAAAAAAAATGAAATGCACAATGACAGTGAACAAAGCAATAAAGAACATTTTAAACAAATATATTTTTATTTGTAATTGAAAAATAAAAATAAGTAATGCATAGACCTACATTAAAGGGCAACGACTTCAATGGCAATAAATAAGAAGTTGTTAGCGTGGTTTGTGGAGCAATAGGTCATAGCTGTTACCCGCAACAACATGTATAAAAAAAGGAACTAATTGCATTACTTAGTTACTTTCTATGGAAAGTAATGCATTGTGTTACTTTTGCTTTGCTTTTTGTCACCTGAGCTGGGCTTGCTTATTTATTTTGAATAACAAAAACCCCAAAAGTTATATTTTTGGCAGCTGTAAAAGCCCTTTCATAGCCAAAATGAAATTGATAAACCTCAGGCTGAAGGAAGTGCCTCTGCCTCTGCACCTCACTCTCAATTTCTCTCAACACAGAGACGGGAGAGGTGTCAGTGAATAAATGGGAAAACAAAGTAACTTGTGTGTTATTTGAAAAAGTAAATAACTACTACTAACTTACTAAAGTAAATCTCTTACTAACTGTTTCTTGTAAATTTAAAAGTAATGCATTACATTATAGTTACTTGCAGAGGCGGACAGTAACTAAGTACATTTACTTGAGTATTGTACTTAAGTACACTTTTTGAGTATTGGTAATTTACTTGAGTATTATTTTTTATGGGAACTTATGACTTTAACTTCACTACATTTGAAAGACAAATATTGTACTTTTCACTCCACTACATTTCTATCAAGGTCCTCAAAGTAGAAAGTCGTTACTATGTAGCAGCTTTGAAAGTCAGTGGAAGTATTGCAAGTATTACATACAACAATAAAACAATTGCATTGACATAAAAAAGGACATTTATGTGTGGTACTTAAGTACTTTTAAAAGCAAGTACTTCTGTACTTTTACTTAAGTAAATATCTGTCTTTACAACTTTTACTTGTAATGGAGTAATATTTGACCAGCAGTATCTGTACTTTCACTCAAGTAATGGAGTTGAGTACTTTGTCCGCCTCTGGTTACTTGAAGTAATATTATTACCTAACTCGCATTGCTTGTACTGTGTTACCTCCAAAACTCCAAAAAAGTTCTTACAATAATCCTAAACGTCACACAGAGAGCAGATTTATTACATATTAGTGGTTTGTGCTTGGAAGGAGATACTGTTTGTTCTTATGCAGGCTGCAATCGACACACAGGAGAGTGTGTGAAAGTTTGTTCCAGTCACAGTGACACTGGTCTGTGCCGATGCAGGGATGGCTTTTCCCTCAGTAAACAAGGCAATTACTGTGAAGGTACAGCCTCTATTTCCCTTGTGAAACACAGGAACATCTAAGATACATAATAGCATTAGTGTAGAAATCCACAACCTTCTTATTCTTCTCTCAAAAGCTTCTCTTCTCTTCTCTTGTAGATATCAACGAATGTGCCCTGTGGAATCATGGCTGCTCACTGGGATGTGAGAATGTTCCGGGCTCATACTTCTGCACCTGCCCTAAGGGTTACCTGTTACTGCCCGATTTGAAGACCTGCCAAGGTATGACTGGAGAATAGGGATGGATTATGAAACACTGGCTCTAGTAGCATACATATCAATGAGCTGGAAGTGATGGGTCAGGGACAGAGCGCAAGAAAGAATTTTAAAAGAAAAAGGACTGGAAAGAGACAGAGAGCATCTCTAGACTCAATTGTTTGTGCTCTAATAGTGCATCGAGGCAGAGCCGGACAGCACAGTGCGATAAGATAATGAGGTGACATCAGTAATAAGGAACATATTTAGTAAGCAGCTTTGCCTGGCTAAGCAGGTCAAGAGCAAATCAACAGCGAGATTAACCCTCAGTACAGTTCTCGCACCTGCGGACACTCACCTGCACCTGCAATCAAGATTGTTGTCATGTTTTCTGACACTCAGAATAATTAGTGATGGGAACATGACAATTAAAGAACATAATTTATGGAATAGATTTGTATTTATTGTGAATAATTAGAATAAAAGTACATTCAAGTTTTGAATGTTTTGAAAGTTTTTTTTTTTTTTTTGAGTTCTGGGGATATAAATCTATATTTATATCTGTTTTAACAGGTGTCAGGGCCATTTCTAACCATTTTGACGAAATCCTTATTGATGTACATACATATATATGTACATACTGATACATTTCCAATTTATAATTGTATATATTTGTTAATAAGGATTAAAATTAATACCAGTAATTACATTAATAACCTATATAAAAGAAATTTTTGCGCAATCCCTAGTTGCTAAGAAATTGTTCTTAGACATAACTACATAATTATTACATTTTGCATTTGGATACGTTTAAAAATCTATGACTACTTTTTTCTTTGTCTATTTTTGTTTAGATGTTTTTTTTTATTTCGTTGATTTCAAGCATTAGTTTTTGCATCATTTTTTCTGTCAAACCTATATAAAACCTTTTTTAATTTTTTTACCACAAACTATGTGTCAAAGCTTGATCAGTCACACGAAAGTAATAAGAGTAAATACTGATTTAGTGCGGTCTTTGTTACTCATTGACGAGTGAACTTTCCCTTTAAATAATGCGACCTGCCCTTTGTCTCTGTGTAACACCCCTGTGGACTGTTTGTTGTGGTTTATTCCCCTTTTGTTGGTTTAGCCCGTTCAATCATTAGTTAATTATCCTCAGTGTGCTCACCTGTCGGCCCCTCGTTATCTGCCCTATAAGTTCCTGTCTCGTGTATTCTAGTATTGTCGGTTATTGTGAATGTTACCCTGAGTGTGTGTCTCATCTACCCGTATCTGCCTTGTTGTCTCTACATTAAACATCCTTATTTGAATCCTTGTCGTCCTCGTCATCCTGCCTGCCTCCACACACCTTGACCGTGACACTCTGTGTCCGAAATGGCCCCCATACCCTTAAATAGGGCACTATTTAAGGGGACAGACAGCCATTTTTATTGGTGTCTGAAACCTTAGTGGACATTATCAAGTGCACTCATTCAGTCTCACAATGCACAGCGATAACAAGTGTACAACTAATGTATGGTCAACGGCTAGAGAATACCCATAATACACCGTCCATTCATTTTACAAAGCGCTCGTCCCTGGCGTACAGCGTTATACAATAGAGGTATAAATTCATTGTAAATTGATTGTTAAATTGTTTAGTTAGTGTTTACGCATAATTTCCATGACAGAGTTCAAGATAAATCCTTTCATCTTACTACTGGGGCTGCCAGTTTGCCAGTTTCAAACTATGCAAAAGTGGCAGCCCTTCCGGTGCACTCAGTGTTCGAATTCACTCACTCATTTTCATTTACTCCTTTAAGTGAACTGTATTAGTGGCCTAATTTAGGGAATAGTGAGTGAGGGTACAAGGGCGATTTCAGATTCAGCCTGTGTGTATGTTACTGCTCGCATAAGCAGTAATTAGAATAGAATGAATCGATTCAGCATTTCGACACCATCCATAAAGATACGTTAATTCGACAAAGTGGTTTAATAAAGGATGTAGACCTATTATTGTTGTGAATTAGCACATTTTATTATACCATTTTTAAAACTGGCCATTAAAATTTTATATGGGACAATAACAAAACGGACTGATCCTTTAACAATGCATTGGCGCAAAAACGCACACCTTTTGGAGGTGCAAGTAAAAGAAGAAAGTTTTATAGGGTCCAAATATAACTGCACACTCAGTTCATCTTGAAATGCCGTGCAGTTATATTTTGCCCTCTACAATGCACACCGAGCAATATTACACTATCTGCCCATTTCACAGTGATTTCTCGACTGCCACAAATACTCCCCTAACAAAATACAGATTTGTGCACTTTTTACTATAGGCTGCCTGTTTTTTTTGCTGAGCGCTCCAAATGCAAACTTTACATGAAACAGTCAGACAGTAACTGACAGTACTCTGATCCAACGGCAAATAGGAATCGTCAGATTGACAGAACTCTAGCCCAATGACGTTGGGGGAACCAGTGGGGAGGCAATCATATTTCAGGGTGGCCGTGACACCCTTTACATCAGGGGTCTCCAAACTCGGTCCTGGAGGGCCGGAGTCCTGCAGAGTTTAGCTCCAACTTGCCTCAACACACATGCCTGGAAGTTTCTAGTATGCCTAGTAAGACCTTAATTTGCTGGTTGAAGTGTTTAATTAGGGTTGGAGCTAAACTTTACAGGACACCGGCCCTCCAGGACAGAGTTTGGAGACCCCTGCTTTACACAGACCCCTGCTAAAATGTAATGCCAGATATGCGCTCATTGGCGCCCCCTGGCGCCCTAGTTTGCCTATGCCTTAAAACGGCCTTGACTAGTGTAATTATTTAATGTAACTGGAGGCATTGTTTTTATATACAGGTGCATCTCAATAAATTAGAATGTTGTGGAAAAGTTCATTTATTTCAGTAATTCAACTCAAATTGTGAAACTCGTGTATTAAATAAATTCAATGCACACAGACTGAAGTAGTTTAAGTCTTTGGTTCCTTCCTCCACGACATTCTAATTTATTGAGATGCACCTGTATATGCATTGTGAGACTGAATAAAACAAAATCGTCCAGACATTGTTAATTAATTTCAGGACTGGAGTTTTGCAAATATAGGATGATTGGATTTGGGATTATTAGGTGTCAGAATAAGGACTGTCTGATAGGCACAGTGCCACAAGGTCTGTTGGTTCAGAGAAGTGTTCATGAAAACACTGAGGTGAGAATTGATCATCTGAGGACAGGGGTTTTGCAAATGAAAGATTGAGGCCATAAGCTTTAGACTTTAGACTTGTTTGTGTTGTCTCGTCATCCTGCAGCAGACTGTTCGGCCAATGACATGTCATTCCATTTCCCCAAATGACCACGCTTTAATGCTTGGTTTGAGGACAATATTTGAAGTGCCAATGGAATTCAAATGTCAGGGTTGTCATTTTAAACCCTCACACTGTTGAGATTGACCTTATTGTTATTATGTTTGTGGCTCTAGTGTGTAAAACAGTAAGTGCAATTTCTAAATTAACTTCTTTTTTCCCCTTCAAATTATATTGAAGGGATAATTTACCCAAAAAATGAAAAATACCCCATGATTTACTCACCCTCAAGCCATCCTAGGTGTTTATGACTTTCTTCTTTCAGACAAATACAATCAAGAGTTATATTAAAAAATGTCCTTCTGGTGAAAAATGACGAACCCAGCAGAATGATAACCAGTAAACCTTCTCATTGTTTCTGTTTGGGCTTAATTTCACTCTACTGATTCCACACGCATTGTAGGAAAACTCGATTTATATTATTCCAATTTAAAATATATTTTTGTTCAAATCTTCAGATTCCAAAATATTACAAAAGGGGTAAAAAAAAACATTACTAGTCTTAAAATACTTTTTGGGTACATGCAAAATGTATTTTAAAATATATTTTGGACAATGTAATTATATTATTACATTTTATTTTAAAAAATACAAAAGAACTAACAAAAATGTATAAAAAATGTGTGTACACACACACACACACACACACACACACAATAAAGTCAATAAAATTAATGAATTAATTTCATAAATGAATGAATGAATTTTGTTGTAGTAATACATTGTTGTAAATAGCAGAATTTTAACTGGCCTGCTTACCTTTGTCTACAGAGACTAAACCATGTGTGGAGAATGGTACAGTTTGTGATCATGCATGTGTACACACTGCGGAAGGAGATGTGTGTGTGTGTCCAGAGGGATCTGTACTAAATCCTGACGGCCGCTCGTGCACAGGTGTGTGTTTTTGTGAATCAAAATACACGAAAAGCCTTATTATGTATGCATTTATGCCTGTGTAACTGTTTTCTTCACCATTGTCTCTATGTTTCAGGCTGTTTGTCTGCAGATCGAGGGGGCTGCAGTCAGATGTGTGTGACTTTATATCCAGGCAGGTGGATGTGTGAGTGCCAGCCTGGATACCAGCTCCAATCTGATGGAAGACACTGTGCTGCCCCAGGCAAGGCCTACAAACTTTTTTTATATTCTACATTCTGCCAGGGTGCCTGTCTGTCTCCCAAATCTTGTCTCCTAGAATTATTGGGTTAAGCATGTAGTTAATCAGTATTTAAGTGCATTTGCTTCCGATGGCCTCATGCGTGCGTCTGGAATCTTCTGGAATCTCTTTGCTTTATTTCAAGCAGGACCTCCAATGTACCTGTTGTTTGCCAATATAGTGGATATAAGACAGATTAACGCAGATGGCAAAAAGAGCAAAACACTTCTGGAGGAACCGAGAGGCAGTATCATAGCTGTGGACTACGATCCAGTGCAGAAACAGGTAAAAGATCACACACATGCCTGAAGATTCCCACTACAGTAATTATGTGTTTACAACTGCCCTCTAGTGGACATAAGATGTAAATGCCAGATGACGTAAGGAAACAGGAATGAAGTTCAGGGGCTCCTGTTGATAATGTTTAAAAAATGCATTTACTGGCCACAGAATTTAAATGCAAGAGGACACATTTCTATTTTCTGTATTCTTTCCATTTCAGTCTTTCCATTTAAATGTATTTTTCCATGCAATGTCATATAAAAGTAGTCACTTGGGCTTGTTTGTTCAGGTGTATTTTGCAGATAAAGGCCTGAAGCGTATTGAGAGGGCTTCGCTGGATGGAGGTTTCAGAGAGATGCTGTTCTCCACTGGACTCGACTCACCCGAGGGTCTGGCTGTGGACTGGGTCCATCGCAAGCTGTACTGGACTGATAGAGGGTAGGATACAGACACATACAAACACGCTTCCTCAAATGAATACCTATATCCTCAACTGACTTTATCATTCTGTTTTTCAGATTATCTTCTATTTCCCGTAGCGATTTAAATGGCCTTGACAGGGAGATCTTTATAGATAAAGACATCCAGAAACCCAGAGGCATTGCCCTACATCCTCAGGCACAGTAAGACATTTGAAACGGCATGTTAATTTTCTTCTCTGCAGTTTATCTTCATCTACATCCTGTAAACTGAATTGTATGGTGAACACAGCCATTTTTTATGAATACCTTTTTTATGAGGGAGAGTTCAGCAAAAATGACATGTATTTTGTTATAATCACCCTCACGTCATTCCAAGGCAAGCAGCTCTAACATGGATTTTGACATGTAATCGTGCATTAACGTCTCATCTGTGTGTCTGGAGGAAGGTATATTGGACAGACATGGGTAGTCGTCCTGCAGTGGAGCGCTCAGGTCTGAACAGAGACGTGCGTGAAGTTGTGGTCAGCACCGGTCTGGTGTCTCCTAGTGGACTAGCAGTTGATCACGGTTCCCAGCGTCTGTACTGGTGTGACCTGAGCAGAAGTGCGATTGAGTCAGCCAACCTGGATGGTTCTGATCGCCATATGCTAAGCAAGAACCAAGTAGGTGAGGCTCCTCTGCCAAAAACACACACCTTCACTACACAAACAAATACTGTATATACGATGCATGGAAATAAGCACAAACTACACTATGTGGCAATAATGTTTATGCTGGTTTATGAAAAACCTCCCTGTAGACAACATGTTTTGCTGTTTGTAATATGTTTTTCTGTTTTTGCTTTGGTTCAGGTCGCCCATTTGATGTTGCAGTGTTTGAGAACGTGCTCTGGGTCAGTGACTGGGACGGTCACCTGCTCTACCGCCTAGACATGAGAACTGGACGAAACCCTGAGCGTCTCAGTGACATCTCTGTCCAACCAGCTGCTCTGGTTGCTGTCCATCCTCTCGCCAAAACAGGTATGAATACTTGTTCTCATTAATAGCATATCTGCTTTGGGTTTTACCATTATTTGTAATCATGTGTAAAAGGGCATAAGAAAATGGAGATTGTTGCTTTATAGTTTTATATTTAAATGTTTTCGAAAGCCTTTTATGCTCAGCAAGGCAATTGACCAATTTGAACAATTATTTGAAAAATACAATAAAACAGTAATATTGTGAAATGCTATTACAATTTAAAAGAACTGTTTTCTATTTTAGTATATTTTAAAATGTAATTTATTCTGAACTTTCAACATTCAGAAGTCATTATAATATGCTGATTTACTCAAGACACATTTCTTGGTATTATCAATATTGAAAGCAGTTGTGCTGCTTAATATTTTTTGTGGAAACTCTGATACTTTTTGCAGAATTCTTTGATGAATAGAAAGTTCAAAAGAACGGTATTTATTTGAAAAATAAATATTTTGTAACATAAATGTCTTTGCTGTCACTTTTTATCAATGCACCAGTTAATGTAAATGCATCAATTTAATGTAATTTCTTGAAAAAAATCTTACTGACCCTAAACTTTTGAACAGTAGTGCATTTCTATGCTCTGGTTAAGCTCAGAAATGTTAACTTCATTAATTATAACTTCATTATTTACACAATAAAAACATATACAAATAAAGTCGCATCTGGAATATTTCTAACATGAAAAATTGTAAGTTTGACAATGACAACAATGGCAACATCTGCTCAAACCAAAGTAGCGATATTATTTAAAATTCACCCTATTTTCACTAAACTGTGAAAAATAAAATGAACTATATGATTTCCATTTTTAAAAGAATTTATTATTTCATTCTATATAGTAGGACATACTGCATAACAGGAATAATCTGACTGCAATGCAATGCTTGTTTTCTGTCTCCTAGGAGCAGATGTTTGTCTTCATGAAAACGGAGGATGTGCCCAAGTGTGTGAGAGCAGACTGGGATTGGCTCATTGCTCATGTCACTCAAAGCACGTTCTTTCAGCTAATGGAAAAGACTGTCTGGCAATTAATACATCATTCCCTGGTCAGTATAATGAGAATATAATTAAACAATGGAAAGAACGCTTGTCCTAGAAAGTCACATTAAACCATTAAAGCAATTTGACTCTTTGCATATGTTAAAAAATAGCTGTATTTCTCCACTCAGAAACAGATGATGGTGAATCAAGTGATCGTTTGAGAAATAAAACACTGAATGATGAGAGCACACCACTGGTCATGCTTTACACAGAGAGGATGGTTTCAGGTAAAAAAAAAAAATATATATATATATATATATATCAGCAAAAATCACATTCATCATAGGCAATATTTATGCCTCATTTTCATCCAATTTTTCTGAACACGGAATATTGTAATTGACCAGCCAGAATCAAGTATTCCAGAGCTAACTTGGATAACTTGAGAATGATGTGATCTCATTTAGACCAGAATGACTGCTACTCTGTCAGATGTGATGTGAACGCTCGGTGTATGCAGAAGGAAGGCCGAGCCGTGTGTCAGTGTGTGAGAGGTTTTGCTGGAGATGGGGAGCTGTGTGTGGGTAAGTGTGTGGAAGTCTGTGTATGTTTGCGCTACAAGTCAGATGATTTTGATTTAGTATAGACTGATGCAGCTGGTTTGCGATGTATGTGTGAAACTGTATTTGAGTGTATGGATATTGATGTGTGTGTGGGTGCAGTATGCGTCTGGTATTGGATATATTGATCAGTCTTTATGTAAATTTGGGTTTGTTTACATGATCACATACAATATTGACAATATGTGTGTGTGTGTTTGCACAGACGTTGATGAATGCAAAGCAGGCCTGGCAGATTGTAGTATATCTGAGGCTGAGTGTGTGAACACAGCAGGTGGATATTTCTGCCAATGCAAGACTGGATTCAGTGGAAATGGTCACTACTGTATGGGTATGACAAAACGCACATTTATATATATAATTTTTTCAAAAACATTGATTCATTCAGTAACGTCACTAAGGTGACTTGTAATGCTTCATTCTGCTTTTGATTTGTTTGCAACTATTTAGTTTGATGCTGCAAAACTACACAAAGTAATTGGCAATATTGTGTAAATTACTTAATAGTAACTTGTTTACTGAACTGCTATATAAAAGCAGTGTTCACATTAGTCTGAATATCAGTTATAGGAATATAAATTTATACGATATGCACTACTGCAATGTTTAGGGTCAGTAAGATTTTTTTAATACTTTTATTCAGCAAGGATACATTAAATTGATCAAAAGTGACAGTAAAGACATAATATTTATTTCAAATAAATACTATTCCTTTGAACTCAATGTTCATCAAAGAATCCTGAAAAGCTTTATCATGGTTCCCACAAAAATCTTAAGCAGCTAAACTGCTTTCAACATTGATAATAATAAGAAATGTTGCTTGAGCATCAGATTGCTGAAGGATCATGTAACACACAAAACTAATAGCTTTGCCATAACAGGATAAATAAATAATAATAATTAAAATATTAATATTACTTCAAATAAAATAGAAAGTAGTTGTTGAAATTGTAATAGTATTTCACAATATTAAGTTTTACTGATCAAGTAGGCTACTTCTTTCAAACACATAAAAAATCATACATCATATATATGAGACTTATTACAAAAACATTAAAAAGCGTACATCATATATATTTCCCCAAAAACAGAGTTCTTTGTGTGTGTGTGTGTGTGTGTGGGAACGCACATGTGTATTTTTACAGATATAGATGAGTGTCAGTTAGATATGCATGGCTGCGATGTAAACGCTGACTGTTTGAATGCAGTAGGAAAATATCAGTGCAGATGTCGACCTGGGTTCACAGGCACAGGATTCATCTGTCATGGTAAGATTCACCTTTTTAATGTTTTAACTGAAACAGTACCTTCTCAAAACCATGTACTGTGCAGTTGTCTATGTGCTTATTATGTATAATGTGCCATGGCTTGAGACCATGACCAGTTACTTAATAGGACCTGCTAATCTGAGTTTGTGCAAAAGGGTAATGCACTGACATTTAAAGGCACAATATGTAAGATTTTTTTATTAAAATATCCAAAAACCACTAGAACAGTGTTATATATTTTGCTGACTTGTGTACTTACATTATCCCAAATGTTTCGAAGAATGTTTAAATCCAGAGAAATAAGCAATTTTAACTAGTGACACCGACCGTGTCCATAGTGTCATTGTGTCTCCTGCCAATGACGTCATAGCCTCTCGATTTCCAGTTTTGTTTTGTAGAAAATATGGAAATACCAAAGACGCTTTAATATGTTGTGCATTTTAATAGACCGGTGACTATCTAGTATGTTTTAACAGAAATGTATGATGCAACATAATAGTGACCTAATTTTCAAGCTCTGTTTCTTGTTGCAGAGGAGTTTAAGAGCGCCTCCTCTTGGCCGAGTACAGGAAGTCCACTTGATGTCACATCGCCATGGCAACACAACAATGCTGTGCAGAGCTGCCCCTCTACACACGACTCATACTGTCTGTATGACGGAGTGTGCTTCTATTTCCCTGAGATGGAGTCTTATGCCTGCAAGCAAGTGTTTGCTTATATAGCCTTTTGTACAAGCTTTAACCTGATTTTTATGATTCTCATAATCCCTGTTTTTGCATATTCCACAATTTCCTTCCAGCTTCAAACATAAACTGATTTTTTTAAAATGAGGCTTTAGTTAATGAGCAGTAGATGGCAGTATTGTACTAAAAATCATTTAGCTTTTTACTGAATGTTTGCCCTTGACAAAAATGACACATATTAAGCATAATCAATAGACAATTTTATTCTAATATTCCATTCTCTGTTCACTGACAGAAATAATGAATATTGCATTTAATGATGCTCGTTGTGTGTGTGTTTGTGTTGCAGCTGTGTGTTAGGTTACATGGGGGAGCGCTGCCAGTTCAGTGATCTTGAATGGTGGGAGTTGCAGCAGGCTGAAGAGGAGAAGAGAAAGAATATGGCTATAGCAATGTGTATTGTGCTCCTCATCAGCCTTCTCTCCATCGCTGCCTGCATCACCTACTGCTACGGGTGAGAGTGATAGGCAAAGCTAGACGGGGTCAGAGATGCACGTTAGTAGCACACTTAATTATTTTCTGTTATTCTGGAGGCATGGAGGTAATGGATTTTCAAAGAGTAAATAATCTAAATTATTATTACTTTATGTAATAATATCTACACTACATGACCAAAAGTATGTGGACACCTCAAAAATTGAAGTCATTGTTAAAATTGCAGTTCTTAATTTTGAATGAAAATTGATTTGAGGTTGCAAACAGGATGCAGAATTGAATTATAACAAGTAACTCATATAACTGTGATTTATAACTAGAAAAGTTAAAAGATTGTCAAGAAATAATTTCAGTGTTGGCTTGACAAAGTCTTGTTTGAATGTTTTGAATAAAAATGTAAAAATTGTATTTAATGTAAAAATGCTTTTAAGGTTTAATGTTTATAGGACTTTGGACAAAGAGATAGATAGATAGATAGATAGATAGAAATGTTTGGAATGCCCAATTTACATTGTTAATTTACATTGTTTAGCATATACATTTCTTTGATTTGCAATTCAGTAAATTCTTCATCCTGTCATATCAATTCCAAATTACCTTTCTGTGGGTGCTTGCCAATTCAAGGGGCCAGTTCTTCGGTTCTAAATTTTCCACAACCCTGCCATAGTGTCTCATGATCAAGAAGAAGAAGAAAAAATCAAACTGAAAAAAAGTACAAAACCAGAGCATCTGCCACAATTTGTCTTAATGCCTCCGATTTGTAGTGGATTCAAGAATTCTTTCCATTTTATTGAAAACCTCTAATGGTTCGATTGCTGCCGGTCTGAGTTAATTTCCCTGCTTTACCGGGTGAACAGCGTGTAAAAGCGGCATTAAATTGTTTATTAGGAGAGGAGGCTGGAGCCAAGGCCAGTGAAAGATTTAAAGATGATTTCATCCCCTTGAGCATATGTCAGAAGACTTTAAACACACATGCACACATCAAAACAGCTGGGTGATACCCTGGTTAAGTAAATTCTCGCCCTGTGTTTAGTGGGTTTAGTGACATTGAGCTGTGGTGTGGTGCTTTGTTATACTCCTAAAGCAGCATACTTATCTTGGGTTCCTCTGGCCCCTGCACCTCAATGCAGCAGTCGCACACTTTCAATTACATGCTTGGTTTAGCTTGTACTACAGCAATTACATATCAAAATAGGTCATTCCTACACCCCAAAATGGACCCAGTGATCTATAACCTTATTTAAAAGCTACATGGGTGGCAATTTTTCCGTCTAAAATTGCGTTTTTCACTTGGTTACTCGTGTTTCCATTTTATTTATTTTTTTCATTTTTTCTGTCTATATCAACTTAACACACACTTTAACTCTCACACACCTACACACAAACACAATACTGGTTTGGTTTATCCCAAAGCCCATTATTGCCCCAGGTGTAGGGTTGAGACTCACATATCCAATACACATAATAATGCTACTTATCATACCTTCACGTCTCACTGCAGGTCTCCATATTTCATTCTCACTCAACAGGATCCAGAGATTGGTTTTGCCCTCGGTGTCAGTTAGCAGGGTGCCAATCCATGAACGGAAAAAATCAAAACGCCTCAGATTACTATTTACATAGATTTCATACGAGCCAGTTCAATGAATTTGACATTTAGCCTTTCAGAAAAAAACTAACAAAAGAGATGTATTCAAAGGTCATTGAATCTGCAGACTTCATAACTAAAGCAGACAGTGTCACAAGCATAGTCTCCATAAAACAATAAATTAAATGAAACGATACATAATAGGCCTATGTCAAGCTTTACATTGGTAAAACTGACATTAAAACTAGCTTAATAGGTTTATTTTCATTCATTGATTTTAACGTATATTATGAACAGTCCCAGTCATAAATATATGAATGTTTTGCTGTTTATCAGGTCTAAAAGACATTTTGGAACATGTCCCTCAGAGGATGATGTGGGTGCCATAAGCATGAGTGGGGACAGTATCACTGAGTCAACAACAGCCACTCCACAGGTAAGATGTTCCTAATGAGCTTTGGACTTCTCTGTAAGTGACTGTTTTTTTGGACAGTACTGTATATTTTCACATTGTGTGTATGCAGGTCTATGTGGTTTTGGATACTTCTCCCTGCGGTGATGAAAAGGTCCTTCATGTTGTAGGGTGTCCCAGAACAACAGTATGCCCGTCATGCTCTTCAAGCACCAGTAAGAATCTCCTTTCCTATCTTCTCTCATAATAGAGAAATATTTCTCTCATAAAACAAATATTTGTTTTAGTTGTTCAGTCGTTTTAAAATAATCTTCAGAAATCCGGAATACATAAAATAAATATGCGGAATATAGACAGTTTTCCCTTTATTCAGACAGGACAAATATTATATTTTTAAGGATTTTTTATTTTATTTTTCCCTTTACAAATATCATGAATTATTCATTCTTTTCAATTCCTGTTTTTTTCCCTGCATGTTGGTTGAACTACATGACTAATTTTGTGTAAAAAGGGGTTTTAATTCTATATATATACAGTATATATATATATATATATATATATATATTAATATATTGTGTGTGTGTGTGTTAACTAGGAGACAGTTTTGCTTTAGAAGAGGCTGGAAAGCTACAGACTCAGGATGTTGCCAACTGTTCTGTATCCTGCGATATGCACACATTGCTGGTTACAGAGAAGACCACTGATAATCTCATCTCCTTAGAAGACCTTTCAGGCAACACCACAATGATTCACCAGACTAAAGTCTTCATTCCAGACTGACTCATGAACTGATTATGTGAATAAGTTCAATGTTAAAGTCATTGCCATTCAGTTTTACAGTACAGCCAAATGACCGAGTACATAGAAGATGTGGTTATTTGAACAAGATTTCACATTCAAGTTGCATCAGTTTTTTGTCAACAGATTTCATAAAAAAGTAGGTCGCTACCTGGTCACTAATTGTTGAAGTAAGATTTGTAAAACCATTGCACATCCCTCAAATGGTTTTATGCAAAACCATCTGAGCTACATAAGAGCTATAGAATGAGATCATGTAGGTCATCTAAAGAGAGTCTTGTTTTTCTGCTTTTAAGGTTGCTGTTTTTTGTCACTTTTGAGCCACTAGACATTGAATCCATAGCTCTGTAAATAGTAAAGATACTTTTTTGTTGTTGAGATGCAGAGCATATTGAGTAGGATCATATATTGAAATTTGTATTATAGTTATGAGAAAACTGTCATTGTTTTAATAATGGAGCAATGTTGGTTTGAGGTGGTGAAGAGAAAAACGAGAAACATCCTGCTTTGTGAGCAGAAAATAACATGTACTTGGCCTATTTTGCTTCAGGTGGTAAAGAATAACATTTCAGTGGCGTATCTGGACCTGCTAACATCAGCATTGGTTTCACAAAGAGATTACTGTATAAAACACATCCTACGATGAACCAACTATAAAAACCTCAGGTATCAAAACATTATTAAATAAGATAACAAGATAACATTTGGTATCAAAAAGATATAAACAGATATCGAAACACAATATTTAAATGAAGTAAGGTCTCAGATTAGTGAATGAATCATGCTTTAATTATTCAAGAACAAGAAAGTTTAGTAGGTTAGATTCCTCTCTGCCTCTCCTCAGACAAATGTCTCACATATATTCTAAGACGTCATGGGAAAATAAAAGCAGCAAGCTATATCTTTATCTGTCAATCTATATCTGTCTAACTAACAGAAAATGTATATGCTGGGATTATAAGGTTTTAACCTACTTCTGCTATTTTCAACCAAAAGGCTAGAACAAGGACGCTGAAGGATGATTTAATAAATGAGACCAGACAGAATAACATCTGACCTGATGCCTTTTGTTCTCACTCCATTTTTCCATTTCTTTTGAACTTCTTTTTTTCTTGTAATTGATGTAATGTTGGATATACATATTTATAACCAAACTGTAAGATATGCACATGTAAACATCCCAAAATAAAACAAGAGAATCAGAAGCTCCTCGTGCATCATGTTCCAAGCCTCATTTGCACTAAATAGCAAACAATATAAAATGTGAAAAGAAAAAGCATATCAAACATATCACAAGTATACCAATATATATCTTTATCATGTACTACACAACTTTCAGCAGACGGTTATACAATGCCTAATCTATAGCTGAATATCTTTATCTATTAAAAATGATTGTCAGCCTATATGTGATGATTTCTTATATTGGCTGCAGCTGCTTTAATGGTGTAATGGTTCAATGCTCGTCTTCATGCAGGTAATACAAATCTATGAATGAAACATAATTTATGTTCTATAGCAGAAGTATCAGCAACATCTGACCTCTTGACAAAGGTCAACTGTCAGCTAACCTTTTGTTTGGAGGGAAGAACAACCCACACACTTAGCACACACACTCTCTCTTTTAATCTCTGTTTTTGTGGTCACTGGCTCACATATCTATTGATTTTCAGAGAGGGTCCAGTTATATATATATATATATATATATATATATATATATATTGCTCTCTGATTCGATGCACACTGGAGTCCAGGTTGCACTCCATACTGGGGGAATTGAGCTTGTAATAAACATGAAATTTGACCT